CAAACACACCCTTAGTTTATTTTTAAATATATTTATTAAAATGATGTAAATTTCAAAAAATGGTGAGTCTAACAGCTTTGTTTCCTGTAGGCTTTAATTTTAAAGCCAACACTAAAACGGCATCATGAACAAAGACTCAATGCGTCAGCGAGAAAGTCACTACAGGAAGCTTCCCTGTTGACTCGCATTCTAAACGACGGAAAACATTTACTTTTTTACTTTTAACTGACAAGTGAATAACAATCATAACTAGATTTGCCTTATGTTCTACAACTCCTACGTTAGGCGACCAAATTTGGTTGTCAAAAATGAAATCTTCACCGCTCCAGAATCCGGACCCTGAATCAATTTGGTTTTGGAATAGTTAATTTGGTATTGAGTTTTTCCCGTGAAGGGATGAACATCTCAAATAAAACATAATGAAAAGAAGAAGAAACGGTCAATGCACACTGTAATGAAATACCTGAATTATTATTATATATTTTGACTACGTAATAAGATTTCTGAGTCTTACTCTTTATTTCAGCCGTTGATTTATGTCCATTCAACGATTGTTATTTATTTGAAATTAATATTTAATTAAGTGATATAATTCAATAAACTATAATAGTTGGATGAACGAAAATCAATGGTCAAGATGAGAAACAAGACTTAAAAATTGTACTCTGAAGTCAAAAAATTCCTCCCCATTATTGTATATGGGGTAGATTATATTTATAAACTTTCTATTTATAAATTTTTACAAATTACACTGTGTACTACGGTAATACATATATAAACTACCTATAGTAGGCTATTTGACCCTTTTGCCCCTTATTAATTAATTAATAATCATTTTGCCCCTGATTCGAAACTATCTATCAATTTGCCCCTCTTTAATCGACTACTTTGCATGTTTAATCGACTAAATGGTTGTTGGAAGATTTAATCGACTAAATCTCCCTACTTAATCGATTAAAATCATACTGGCTACTCTTTTTTTTTTGTCAAATATGGAGATTTAGTCGACTAAATAGGGAGATTTAGTCGACTAAATCTCCCAACAGCCATTTTTTGTCTGTTTTGGCCATTTAGTCGATTAAAAATGCAAGGTAGTCGATTAAAGAGGGGCAGATTGATAAATAGTTTCGAATCAGGGACAAAATGGTTATTAATTAATTAATAAGGGGCAAAAGGGTGAAAAAGCCACCTATAGTACATAATATAATTTGTAAACAAAAAGTTTATAAATATAACTTTGCTCTTATTATGTATATATAAAAAAAAAGAAGCCCAAATGCTCGATCCAAAATCCAAATACATTACTGAATGTCTGAATCTATCCATAAATTCAATCAATGGATAAAGTCTTGCTGTAATATGAATGTATCTGATATAGAAAGAGAATTATGTATCCCATGTGCATATATAGTCAGAAATACAAGATATTCCCTATGTTCTCTACTAATCAATGGAAGAATAACAAACAAACGAAGAAGAAAGAGGCCATGTATCCAAAGGCAGCCGTTGATGAGGAGGAGCTGATTGGTGAAGCTAAAGGTCCAAGGGCAGTGGAAGATAAGGTTTGTGGGGAAAAGGGCACTGCCAGAGGAGCCACCGGCAGTGACATTAATAGCTAACTTCTATCACAAGGCATTGTGGTACGGATAAGTGCTTGTGTAGAAATGCCCATCAGTGATGTTAAGGATGATTCTCCTTGGACTACTACTTGAATAAACATCAATAGTATTGCTCGTTTCACACTTCACATAAGCTTCCATTGGTGACCACTGCAACGTCTTGTGTTCCACACATGTAGCACAAGGAAAACTAATTAGTGATCGCTACATGATAACAAGGAGGCATAGAGATTAAACTAACACTTTTATTTTATTTTTCCAGTTTATTAGCATGTATTCCTGTTATCATCCTAAATTCAACATCAGATTGTTGGAAGTTAATAATTCACGATCAACTTCTGAATTATTTTAAATTTCCTTACTGAGTTATTTGTATTTTTGTTTTTTTGTTGTTTTACATAAAAAATTTAAGTGGGGTTAGACACCCATATCCCACCAAAGTCAGGAAAAATCCCTAATCTCTTTGAAAATTTATGGGAGAGTTGTTTTTGTTTTTCTAGAGGAGAATTAATGGACACAATTTTGTTAGCTTTACAAAATGCACCGTTTGAAAAACGGCCTTGCACAGCAGTATAAGGTCCACAAGCTTCCGTAATCTTCCAAATTAAAAATAGTGATTACATAGGTTACAACTCGACCGTATACTACCGGGGAGAAGATTCCAGATATGAATTGACTACCCAGATTTAATAGAAAATAACAGGTTTGATCATTTAAAAATAAAAAATAAAATAAGAGTTGGGTGTATTAATAAGTTATTAAAAGGATTAAAGTTTGAGATTACCAAAAAAAAAAAGGATTAAAGTTTGAATATTGAAGTGACCTCCATGATAATCGAGACATGAGTGCTTAAAAAAGTTAATCCCAACTAATGTTTGTAGAGAATAAAAGTAATAAGATCAAAGACTAGAAAAATTGTTTATTTAAAAGAAAACAAAAAAGTAATTTGCTGGCCTGAGGTGTCAGTTCTTCATTATATAAACGGATTCCCAAATGTATTTCAAAATATGTGTACAGAATTCAACAGCTTAATTTTATAAGTAATAAGTTTTCAATCATTTTTATATTATATTTCTTTCATATATTTTGTCACACAATAGCCTTTGAACTTAAAACATAAATATTGTTACCCCAGGGGTAGCTCAGTTGGCAGCTGAGCTCCCAAGGGATTGCTTGGTGCAGGGATTAAACCCTGCCTCAAGCAGTTTCTTGGAAAATCTTTGGGGACCAGAGGATAAGCTAAACAATTTTCGGTTGGGGGATTAGTCTCGTCCTTTCTCCGATTGTGAAGCTTAGTGCACCCACTGTTATAATGAGGGACTAGCCCAAACGGCCCAAGGGCATGGTGCCCGGAAAAAGTTGAATGGAGATACCTCCTGTCAATGTACCAAAAAAATAAAAAAAATAAAAAATATTGCACATGCTTATTTTGTTGGGGTAGGTACTGTTCTTCTATTTAATGCTGGTGGCTTGGAGGCGAGCATGCACAGCATATATTTGATGCAAGACTCAACGTCTGTTTTATGAACTATCCAAATAAATGCTTCTTATTAATTAATGCAGACAGGAGAAGGGGAAGAGTTCCTCACATCTATATAAGGTCGAGAAGACCACTGATAAACAACTTTTGATTCTTGATCCTCTAAAGAGAAGTTAGATACTGAGAGACCTTTTTGGAGACATTTGAAAGAAATACTATTGGAAGGATTGAACACATATTTTCACTCTTACATACTCAGTTTCTTGACGTTCAATGAGCTACTATTATTCGGTTATTAAAGACCGTTTTGATCCCAAATCATGTCCTTAATAGAATAAATTTAAAATAAAATAAGTATTTATGAGCGTAATTTCTTCCGTCCCTAATTTATTTAGTGATGAAAAACTATTCAAAAGTTTAAATTGTTAGGTGAATGTAGATAAATAATTTTCTTGTTTATATTATATTTCTAATATACCCCTCATACAAGTCTTTAAGCTTGAAGAGTGAATAAAGCATTCTCAATCTGGATATGCTAATAAATTTTATAATATTTAATTCAAAATTATTAGAAAAATAGCAAGACAAAGATCGAACTCTAGATAACTTGATTATAAAATTTTTGATGTCATATCATACAATTAACTATTATAAAAGCTTAAGCCCTTAATGAAGTTAAATTAATGATTTTTATATGGGGAATTGATTTATCCTTTTAAAGAATGTAATTTATGTCCTTTTAACAATTTATAATTATGTATTAAAGATAATGTATAGTTATAATATTAAAGTTATATTTTTTCTTTTTAAGACATTGTTAACCTTTTTAACCCTTTTTATATTTATATTATATTTCTAACCCATAATATCTCCTTACAATAAGCCAATTCCGAAATAAGGATAAAGCATGTTCTTGGAAGGAAAAAGACCGAGATCAGTTTAATACAAGTCCTCACCTTAGGTCTTTGACTGAGAGCCAAAAAGAAATATGATTTATAATCCTATGATTAGTTGGTAATATTAAATAATATTATAATCTTTGTAACTGAATAATTTAAAATTTGATCTTTGTCTCTTCATTTCTCTTAAATGCAAAATGAGTAAATTTTCGAATAATTCATGCTTAAAATTTAAACAATTTATACAGAGAGATGGGTTAAAGATATATTGTAAAATTCGTTCAATTGCGGATACTTACACATCAAACTTTTTAGAAGAATTGATGTATGAGAATACCCATAGTTACATGCCAAATCCATAATTTATTGGAATGGGGACGCAGTTGGCAGTCGCGAACAGCACATATGATGATATGAACATGACATATTCTGTTTTATACATTTTCTAGAAGGGTTAAGTGGATATAAATACAAATTGTGTTATTTTAGTGATTTATACAAAGTTTGATCAGTAATATTTTATATAAATCTGAAAAAAAAAAAAAAATTATTTTACACGTCAGTGATATGTTTGGGAAGAAAAAAAAAAAAAAAACTTTTTAAATTTATACAAAATCTTATCGATAAGACTGTGTAAATCATCAATTGACATTGTATCCTTCTTTTTCTCTTTCTAAAACTGCTAAAATGCACCTTTGGCTCGATCATTTATGGATGAGGGAAAATGTACACTACAGAATGATTGGTTCTTGCTTCTTTGCCTGTCGACATATAGTCCAAAACAGTTCAATATTTATCCGTAATTGTCACGTTAATTACAACAAACAAAATCAGTTGCCACTAGCTAGTGCAGCTGGAAATTAAAACTAATTTTTTCAAACGACACACAAGAAAGTATCATCAACGATTCAACATGAATGAATATGTAACAAATAAACGAAACCATATCTTAACACAGAAATAGGAAGCGGCTTTTATACTTAAAACGGACTACATATATAATTAAGAGTAACTAACTGCTATTAATTCTAGAACATTTATAGTAATGTCCATGAGAAGAACAGAGACAGTTGAAGCAACAGACATGGCTGCACCAGACACAGTTGGTGGTGGAGATTCCTGCGGAGCAAGGGAAGAAGAACCTGCAGTGACATTAATATTCAGCTTTTGGCCAAGGCTACAGTGACTTGGGAAGCCGCAGGCGAAATAGTATTCTCCAGCGCGATTGAGAGTGATTCTTGCTGGTCCTGAGGCGAATGTTTCTATATTTCCATTCACGTTGCAATTCTCAAAGTCTTTCTTTGAAAGTGTGATGACGTTGTGGGCTCCTGTATTGAAGTTGAAGACTGAAAAAAAATAGAGCACCCCAAGAAGAAGAACACAAACAAACAAGTTCTTAGCTCAAAGTAATCCATGAGATGAAAAGAAGAGATAGTAAGTAAGTAAGGTTTTGTGTACGTAAAGAGATATTTAATTACCAAGAATGTCGTTTATTCTGAAGGTAATATTAGCGACGGAGGTGGAATAGAAGGAAGCGCCTTCACGAGGAATACTCCAACCTGCAGCACCACCAACTACATACTCTGCAGCTTCTGTGTTCTGTGGTATTAATGCTGCAACAACAACAACTAGAATGAGAATTCCCACGTTAATTATTTGAGACATGAGTTTTGTTGGATGTGTGTTTCTCAGGTTGCCCCCCTTAATTTGATGGCTCTTTCTGTTAGAAATCAAACTTGAGTTTTGCCACTTTATCTTTGGTTCGCCGTGTTGGAAATCGACAATCACACAAAATCGAGAAAACAGAAAAAGAGATAAGAGTAGAGAGATTGACACGATGATTTACCCTGGTTCACTCAATATAGGCTACGTCCAGCTTGTCTGTACTATATTCACCTCACCGCCACTCGTTACAAGTCTCTCGGTTTACAAGGCAAATATAAATAGGATTACAAGAAACCCTAACAGCAGCTATTCATGGGCCCAAGCCCAAACTGCTAAGAAAATTACAATAGAAACAGAGGCCTAAACATTACCTAGCCTCTACCCGGGGCGGCTCCCCCGGACCCCCGCCCGCTCACCTGGGAGCGGGACCCCAGTTGCCTTTCTGCTGACCCCGACAATTAGGGCCAACATCATCATGTGAAGTATGAGCCATACCCAACACACCGCTACTCTAGAAGTCTCTACCATTTTCTACCTAAATTCCTCCACCGCTAAAAGACTGCACCGTAGATGGCTATTGATGTTGATATCAAGTTGATGTTTGCATTTATTATTACACCGCCTGGCCGAAACTTTCTAAGCCAAAAGTCGGTGAAGCATTTGTGCCGTGTCTATAGAATATATAACAAGTGTTTTGATAGTTGAAGAAAAAGTGCAGAAGCACTCTTGAAAAAATAGAGAGAAAGTGCAGTAGCACTTAGAAAGAAAGAAAGAGAGTGATTGTGAGTATAAAATAGTGTGAATTAGTAGAGTTTTGGAGTGCCCTTCTCTTTGTGAATTATGATGAATTTGAACATATGAAGCCAAAGGGTTCAGGGCAGGCTAAGGATATAGCCAAGCACTCTTGTTGCCTTCGATGGTTGATATCACTTGGTCCCAACCTAGCTGCTATCATAGTTGCCTTAAATCGTAGTAACCCATATGTGAAGTTGTAATGGCAACTGTCCCTGTCACAGAAACCACTGAAATAATTATTACAGTTTTTCCTATTCGATCACACTGGTGATGAGGAGTACTGCTTGTTCTAAGGCCCTCCTTCTGGTATCATGCAAACGTTGTTAGCTGACTTTGCTTCTGCTCCTCGGTCTAGGCACATTTCGGTTCCTTGAGTCTGTTTTCTTGTTTTCCTTTTGGGCTATGCCCTTTATTTGACTCACCACGATCAACTTATAATGGTATATATTTAATAAATCAATACCGTTAAATATAAATAAGATTAATTAACTGAGTAAAATAATTATTTCATAACCCAAATATAGAATTAAGATATTATTCAATAGTTTTGCACCCTATATTTATTTTTCTACCTGTTTAGTTCTAGAGAACCGTATAATATATGCTCAGAGATATCCTAGAGATAAATATCTTGATTTGCTTGTAGTCAATACTTCAATCACGGCACACAATCAATAGGCTTATAGCCAAAACGTAGGTGTATGTACAGTGTTGCTTAGGTCAAAAAGTATATACCTGAGGTCTTTAACCTTTTATTTATAGGGCTTGGGTTGTCAAGATCTCCCAGTTAATGTAGGATTCAACCTCTAACTTGTAAGGATAAGGATTTTATCCCTTATCTTTATCATCTCTTGCTGTTGAGATAGATGTGTCATTATTACTTAAGGGATACAAGGGATATGCGGTTAAAATGTGGATTTGTTGAGATATATGTGTCATTATCACCTAAGGGATACAAGGGATACACGGTTAAGATGTGGATTTACTCCATAACACTAACTTTATTATTATTATTATTTTTCTGTCTCTCTTGTTTCACTTCCTAACTTCATATTTTATATTAGGAAAAAAAATATCTAATGTTACTTTAAACAATTTTGTCTAATGTTCACCGAAACAACGTGTTGTAAGGTTGAAAAATTAAAAAATTAGAATGATAAAAAATTATTATATCCCTGAAATAAATTATAATTATAAATACTCCATGATTTTTGCCCCAAAACGACGTCATTTTGACGAATATTAAATAAAGTTGTCTAAAATAAGTTTAGAAAAAATAACCCTTTATATAAATATACTATCTATGTGAACATTGGCGTATTCTTTGGTACAATTTGTATTGAACTGCATATGTGAGAAAATTCAAGGACAGCTTGTTGGGAAGTTTTAAGGGATAAAGATTGAAAGATTCTGCCAGCAGCATGTTGGGCGTTACCTCATGGGCTATCTCGGTTGATAAACAAGATGGGACTTTCAGCGACCTTTGACTTGTTCGTAAAGTCTTTAGTTTACATGTCTAAAATTGGTTGTTGCATCAGACTTGAATTTGTATAAAAGTTTTTTTAATAAAAAGGTCTCAGGCTTCAATCCAAAACTCGGCTTTAGAGCCTCTCAGGCTGACCTGGTATATTATTATTATTTTTTATTTTTTATTTTTTATACTGCTTGTAATAGCCTTCTCTTTCTCCTCAATCTATTTTATCTCATTTTATTGGTTAAACAGACTTTTTGAATGATTTTGTTCTATATTATGTTGTTTTGATATACATTTGAATTTATGAATATTTATGGAATTACTAGTGTTATTGATTATATGTTCTGTTTGGATAAATTTTTGTTATCTTATTTTTTTTAAACAAGCTAAATCAGACTTTTATTTTTTGTAAATAAGTCAGGCCGCATGTCGATATTATATTTATAATAGTTAACAGGTTTGGGACCAGACTGACACATTTAAAGTTTAAACACAAACTTAATATTTTAAGATCAAAGCTTGGCTCGGCCCATTAACACCCCTACTATCTCCTCTCACGGCAGAAGCAATGGCTGCACGTTGGGCCCAAAAATTGGCAGTAGAACCATGCTTTAGGTATGTGGCGGTGATTGGGCAGAGGACAATAACATTCTTTTGAAGAGAAAATATATTGCAAGTTACTGTGGGACAGTTATTGAGGATTATCTTTCCCTCTCTACTTGGTCCATTTCTTTCTTCCATGTCAGAAGTGTTGAGAGTCAACACTATTCACTTGGTATGCGAGTGTATAAATTCAAACTTCGCAATATACTTTGTATTGAGAAAAAGTAGCTTATGAATTAGCTAGGTTTACTCTCCATAATTCAGAACTTGCATAGATTGAGGAAAAACACGTTTGTAATATTGCTTATTTGAACGTTTTGGAATTAAATTTACACTCCCGAATTAACAAAAAAAAAAAAAAATTCTTCCGACCTATTTTGATATATTTTTTCTCTTGGTCCATTTTGCTTCTATATTTTTAAGTGCTTTGATCAACATAATGATAAATCTAGAGCGTGCTTGGTAAAATCGAAACTTAAGTGTTGAAATTTAGAATGTATTAAATAAATACGAAAAATTCTAGATCTCATCGAAGTAAAGAAGGGAAAATGCTATATCAGGAGAAATAATTATTACGCATTTGCTGAATGGGGGGGAAAAATATCAGGCTTTCTAGAAATTGCTATATAAAATGACAATCAATGGTATCATTTTGATCCACAATGAGACATGAAGTGAACCAAACCCCTTCATTAGCAGGAACTGAATTGCCATGGATTTTGATATCATTAGATCACTAACTCCAGAAAATCAGCACTAGCAAAGCACATAGAGAGGATACCATGGCGTAGGACCGGGACAAACCTTGAGTATTGATATTCTGCCAAGTAAAAATAAAATAAAATTAGGAACCAATAAAATACCATACGGAGAGGATGAAAAAATTGCATAATCAGTAAAAGTTGATTTCAAACTCCTTTTTCAGCAATAAAATTCCCAAGTTGTAACGTAAGCAGTAAATTTAATTTTCACCAAAATGACCAAGGAAAAATGCCATCCATGATCATCAAACCACCAATCAACTGAGGCCAACAATCGACCTTTACCCGCAGAAGCAATATATACCAATTAATATATTGAACTTTACAAATTATGAAGATGATCTAGAAAGGAAAGTGCATTTCTAATTTAAAACATCCCTAATTTCTTAAGGAGGCTTTAAACCAGTATTGACATTGCACCCATAATCATTGGTTCTCATGCTGTGTCATTAAATATAGATTGACCACTTTCATGAGATGCAAGATTCCTGGGATAGAACTGTAAGGAAGGAGGCTAAAAGAGAGTTAAAAATGTAGTTAAAGCATTGAATCTACGATCAATTGGAAGTTGGGACATTCTTAAAGAGAACAGATCAGCTTCCAAACGAGCCAAAAGGTCAAATCCCGTTACACAAGGCTCCCTGACTTTGTGAAGGTAGAGATGAAAGTCAATTATACGCACTTGTACCCTTGTATTATTATTGTAAAGGGGATGTTTCTTAGACTCAAACTCGTAACTTTCGAGTCAAAAAGGAGAAACCTTATCATTCTCCAAGCCTCGCCCTCCAAACAAGCCAAAAGCATTTTACAAAACCCGCAGATTTGACCCATGGTTGCATAACTAAAAACTAGCAACCATCACACAGTGTTAAGACTGACTTGATATCTCTAGATCGTTTCACATAAGAACACAAACAAATTTCCTGGAGGGATGAGATTACGAAGGAAAAGGAAAATAACTTGAATATTCGTAAATCTTAAAAACCAAGGATCATGGGTTCTGGTTCTGCGGCTAGTCTGTAGCTAGAAAGGTGGAAATCAAGAAAGATAACATTTTCCCTTTTTTACCCTATAAGTGACACAAAATAGATGAATTAATCTTGAACGTAGACAAATAACTTATCCATGTATCTGACATATTTTTCACATAGCTCTTGTAAGTTTCCCATAGGATTATGAAAAGAGCTATATTGATATTTCATAAGCAAGAAATGGGTGGAAACCATGCATGGTTGTCTAACGTAGGGCAATACGTGACTAAGATAGAAATTATAGCAATTAGATATATTCAATGCAGACTACAAAGTCATCTTATCAAAACAAATGCTGTAAATTAATTCCACAATTGATACCCTTCTTTTGACATTATAAAGCCAATATGAAAGAATAAAGCAAAATAAATTACATGTAGAACAATATTTCAAATTGTTGATAGGGTAAGTTGTTAAGAGTAATAATTGTAGAATGGCAGAATTCCAGATAGAAAAGACAGAGAAGAATGGAGAGAGAGAGAGAGAGAGAGAGAGAGAGAGAAGGAGAGAATGATTGAAGGGAAGTAATTTTTCAATTGCTCTGTGTTATTCAATACAGCCCATTGCGGCCTTTATAACAAAGATTTAAAATACTACAATGGTAAAAGACCATATATGCTAATGCTAATTGATACTAATAAGGATTAATTAATATCAATTAAATCCTTTTATTAATAGAAGTTAGTAAGTTCTAATTAATACCATACGAAGACCTTGGTGCGTAACATCCGTTCCTCATCAAGATGCAACCTGACCTCAAATCGTGTAATATCCAATGCTTGCTCATCATCCCAATTAAAATCCTTAGGATGCAAGGTCCTGCCACTAAATCAACACTTGCGAGACTTGGTTTGAGTACCTTGCATGATAACTTGACGGGTAAAAACAGCAAATGGTGAATTGGTCAGGTGGGTCCAGTTCGTGTGGTAACATCCCCATGTTGCAAAAACCCTCTAAATATAAAAGGAATGAGCGGCTTTTGCATTAATGCCCATAGATAAACTTATCATCACAATTTGTAGCATAGTCCTGTGTCGCATCACACCTGTATCTCTTCATTTATCAAATGTTTGATTGGTTATCGTGTAACATGGGATTGGGAGGCATCAGGGTCTGTCGGCCTTAGTGCTGCCAAGGATAGTGTTATGATCCTACTCCAATGTATGAGACTTAGAGTACCCATCGGAAACATAAGGTTCTGGTGTGGGGTTTATATGGACCTTAAGCTCTCCTACCTCATAGGCTAGCTTTTAGGATGAAGCTCTCCTAAAGTTCTTATCAGACAACTGCTGAAATGGTTGGTTGCTAAGATCTGAGTCGCTGAGTTGAGAGTCATACATGCATGCCAACACGAATGCATCATACATGTCCACATGACGCAGAGCTTGGACCGCCATGCACACTTGGAGTTGCAAATCAGAGATAAACAAGTTCCGTAAGTGCTCTTGAGAGAGACCGCGAACTTGGCTGGCAAGATTAGGCAGCTGGCTAATCGAGAATAAGGTCAGTCTGATACAGTCAAGCTGCCAAACCTCGGTACCTTTGTACTAAGTGGCCGCAAGTGCATCGAGATACATTGCGGTAAGCCACAATCATTCCTCTGGGTATGTGTTATAATACTAAATATAGCACTACATACTAGCATTCATGGTTGATATGGTAGTTGTTGGAGGACAACGCCATAATTGTCCAGGTTCGAATGCTGGTAGTGGGGAAAAAAAATAGCACTACATGTTGAAAAGCCATATGGTCAGGTCACTCGAGAAAAAATGTGAGAACATGAGGTGGCATTGGCGTGTTGTCCGAAGATGTCAAATTGTGCGAAATACTCCCAAGAATGCCTGATACTGGATTGGTTGGCAGCGGTTGTAGTTTTGGTGGCTACTGACGGAGGATGGAAGAGGCGTTGATCACGCTCGACCATGAGACTTTCTACCGTAAGTTGGTTGGCTTCAAAGTCCAGGGAATCCTAACGTAATTTTTTTCAATAGCTTGCAATTAAGCTTCCTACTTTTTAGAACGGTTTGCTGGCATGGTGGAGGCAAGAGTTAATGAAAACATCAGCTGTTAAGAGTAATTGTAGAACGGGAGAATTCCATAGAGAAAAGATAGAGAAGACAGGAGAGAATGAGAGAATGACTGGAGGGAAGTAATTTCTTAATTGTTTCTTGTTTATTTGATTAAGTCGTTAAGGGCTTTATAACAAGTATTTGAAATACTAAAATGTTAGAGCCAATAAATGCTAATACTTACCGATACTAATCAGGACTAATTGAATCCTATCTAATCTTTTTAATTAAGGCCAGTAAATGTTAATTGATACCAAGCGAAGACCTTGGCACGTAACATAGTCATCTTTTGTTCAGGCCAACTTGTGTGTCAAATTTATCAATATTTTCTTTAATTCTTCAATTATCATTAATTTTCATTTTAGCCTTCTTTAAATTGATAAAACAAGGGTTGGAATTAACAACCTTAATCATTTCGAAAAATAAAATACAGGACAGTAACACTCACAAGAAAGACACTAGCTCATAGAGCTCCAAGGGCAGGCCTTTTACCCCCGAATTAATCTCAAACTTTCACCCAACTTCGTAACCCATATGGTACTATTAATTAGGAATTAGGATACATCACTTTCCAATAAGTTAATCTGTTATAAGTGCTGTATAAGTTGATACTATGCCTATGCTATGCTAGTGTAAACTGTATGGACGTATCATCATCATCTACTAATAGATTCATTAACATTGTTTAAAAAACTACCCCTACCCCCTCTCCCAATTAGCCGGCCCACTTGCCAAAACCATAAGAGAATAAATATAAAGAAAACAGCCAGCAATAAATAAATTATAAAAAAAAATACCTTGTTTGATTTTTTTCTCTCTTTCACTCTCTTTCTTAGTTTGGTGTGTGAAAACTTCTTAATGAGCTTAAAAAAAATATAGCATCAAATGAAATTTATGGTACCTTAAGGGACAAAAGGGATGAACCTCCAGCATTAAGTCCATGAAATCCAATGTCATATGATATACTCCCATCAGCCTTGAACAACCCATAGTTCTTCTCAGAGGAATGCCCAAGCTTCAAATTCTCATTGAAAACTGCAAAAATGTATGCCTTCACAACATTTTTAGGCCTATGTGGGGTTCCTTTCCTCTTTGCAAGCCTTTTACGCAGGTTATAATTATATGTCCTCGCATTAGTTACATTTGCTCCAGCTTCATTTTGATCTCCATTTGAGGCCCACCCTGTCTCAGTAACTATGACTTCCATTTTGTCAAATCCAGCACTCTCCAAAGCAGTATAAGCTGCATCAATCTGAGCATCAAGCATGTTGTCATAATGCAGATCATACTTTGGATCATAAATCCCCTTTGTTGGTTTAAAAAGAGCATAATTTATATCAATATGTTCTGGATCACTAGAGTAGGCTAGGGAAGGGTAAGCATTCAAACAGAAAGGAGAGCCAATTTGTGAGAAGAACTCCAATAGCGGCTTCATATACTGATTAACATTATCGTTAAATTTACAAGAGGACGGAGGGTAGGAAGTAGCAAAAACAGCAAATGAGTTTGCGGTAGTAATCTGAATTAGCTCATCCAGATGAAGATTCTTTGTAGCATTATAAATATTTTTTACAGCACCCAAAAGATTTCCCCACAAAGAATAGTCGTCTCCACCCAAAACTTCATTACCCACAGCAATTCCACGAATGCGTGTGTCAGGAAGAAATGACTGCACATTGTCTTTCACCCAGTTCAAAGCATGGTCTGCATTCGAACTCATGTCTTGCAGCTGTCCATTGGGAAGTCCAATCACAAGTTCAAGCCCAGTTCCACTAAAGGCCTTGAGAACACTATGATCAGCATCATAGATTCTAACGTTCCTTATTTTTGCTGCTCTGAGAAGAGTAGCAACTTCATCAGGTGAGGGGATGTTATCTGCAATCCTCCCATAATTTATACCATAGGTTCCGGTGAATGCAAGCAAAGATGCTGGAAACCAAACAGGAGAGGGAAGAGTCCCGTTAACATTATGATGTAGCTAACATAAAATACATGCTACAAACTACGATAGCCAAGCATTAATTGGCCAATTAGATTAAGATGATCAAAATTGGTACTAAGTAGATGAACATGAAAGAACAAAAGATAACAGAAACCCCAAAAGGAAAAGCCATCCATAATCAGAACTAAGAATTTATAGAATTGAAATAATCATCACATACCAAAGGGAACAGTAGTCCCAAGTGAAATCAATAATGAAAGACACTTACCAATGTTATGTACTGATAACTTAAAAGGAAAGCAACACACAAATACATACATACATAGAGCGAGAGAGAGAAAGAGAGAGAGAGAGAGAAGGGGGGGAACACGAAAGAAAGAAAGGAAAAAAAGAAAACTTGTCTCCAGAAAAAGGAGGCGAAATTTAATTTGATATGAGGATGGAAAGAAAGCAACCAAGAGAAGAAACCAAAAAAAAAAAAAAAAAACCCATAAAATAAAAAAGAAATATAGAAAACAATATCAACAAGAACTTATTCTCAATTCAATATAAAGAAAAACTTCAATAAACACAACCACAGAAACAACAATTCCTGATCATACAAAATCAAAAATATCGATAAACAAAATCGGGAAAGGCCCATGAACTAAGTGAATTAAACCTTACAAATAAAGAAGAGAAAGAAAGTACCAATTTGGGTGAAGAAGACCAAGAAGAGTATAAAGAAGGTGGCGAAGAACCGCAAAGTGGTCATGAGGTGGGAGAGAAAGAAGGGATAAGCGATGTGATTCGTCATGATCATGAAGGTATGAAAGCGGGTCGAAAACAAACGGGGTCAAAACGGGGAATTGAAAAGCTTTGCCAAACTTGCAAACACTGCTTCTTCTTCCTCAGACATGCCATAAGAAGAAAAGCCGCTTTGTTTGGCTGCGTTGAAATTGGCTGAATGCCAAGCAACGATCTTTGCGGGGTTTAAGGAAGGGATTGAAGCAGATCAAGTAACCCTTCGGTTTTGGATTTGGTTTTGGTTTTGGTTTATTAGAAAGAATGAAGAGAGGAAAAGGGAAGAACAAAAGAGATAGTTGCGGCATTTTATAGAGATTTTTTTTTTTTTGAATCCGCAGACACATCACACAGAAACGCTGCAGTGTAGGCTTCTACTAAACATGACTCTATTGGTCAATGCACTTCACCGTCATCCTATGTTTTTGTTTTTTTTGTTTTGTTTATTTTTGTTTTTCCAATCCCACAACCTCCCTTTGTCATGTGACTTACACGCGCATATGGACCGACTTAAGTAACCCATAGGACGCGTTCATATTATGTGGGCCCAGACCTTACCCAAAAATAATTATTATATTCTCTCTCTTTTTTGCATCACTTTCTGTGCTGTACCACTTTCACATGAGAATTGTTCTCTTCGCATAATTTCGACTAGCTATGAACAAAACAGTGTAAAAGTACTACCTTTTCGAGAAAAATAAAAAATAAAATCTTTTCACTTTTGAAACGATAAGGGACAAAAACTTTTTAATTTTTTGGTAATCAAGGGACAAAAAACATTGGAACGTCCGTGAGTTTTTTTTATAAAATTTTGTTATGTAATATTATTATTAATCTAGAAATAAACTTAATGGTATAAAATAAGTAAACTTTTTTAACCTAAAGTATTGCTCCATAGTATTTTCTACATTTTTCTTATAATTTTGTTATGATATATTACTGCTCAATCGTATATTGTTATGTCATTAAAAAAAATCTCTTCGAATATGATAGGCACTTGAGCAAACGGCAAAGGGTGTAAATTGGGAGAATAAAATTAAGGGAAATCCAATATCAACGATGAAGATTTCTAAGTGTATTAAAATGGATTCGATACATAGATACGATTTATATGATACAATATGATTTACAAACGCAACAATACATATTATGAAGTGTATCGAAAAGAAATTTGTATTGGATGATACAATATTATATTGTACGAAACGATATTATCTCTATATCCTATGATATGAAAATTAAATAAAAATTTATAATTTTTAATATAAAAAGAAATAAAGATTTAATTTATGATTTAAGTTAAGAAATTATTATTAATAAGAAAAAGAAAATAAAGATTTAATTTAAAATTTAAAATCAAATTCAATATGGAAAATTCATATTTATAAAGGAAATTATGAAATAAATATTTTAATAAATATTTATTTTATTATGTTTTTGAATCTTACAATTCGATATGATTCACGATATAAAAAATGGATCAAACCAATAGCGGATCGAGAAAATAAAAAGACTTAGTCAGTGCCAAAAGACTCAACTAATAAAATTTAGCTAGTATCAATGTTATATTATTTTTAAAAATCTAGCTAATACTAAGGCTATAATTTTTAAAGAAAATATGTAGCATCTTTGAAAATTAGCGTATGCCTAACCTAGTAGCTCTGCCACTGAATCAAACGATAATGTCGATACACGATATGTATTGTGATTCAATAACCTTGGTCGTTTCACTTTTTTTTTTTGGCAAACATGGTCGTTTCACTTAAAATGACATAAAATTGTATCATTTAAAGGCTTTGCATCTCTGCAGTTGCTGCAAAACTTTATTGGAGGTAGCAGATACAAGCAAGTGAGTCCCACTTGCTTTTTAAAAATAAATAAACAAAATAAAGCACACCAGGATACGAAGCCTTATTCTAGTGTTGGTGTAGAATTTTTTTTTTTTACAGTGACAGAAGAGCTATAAAATTTATCATTTAAAATAATAAATATTTTTTTCGTTATTATTTTTTCTTAACACAAGTTTCATGTTATTAATTAGGTATTATGTGAAATTAATTAATAGAGGTCATCTTCGGTAACTTAGTGGGCTTTTTGACCCTTTTGCCCCTCATTAATTAATTAATAACCAATTTGCCCCTGATCCAGAACTATCCACCAACCTGCCCCCTTTTAGTCGACTACCTTGCTTTTTTAGTCGAGCAAATGGTCAAACTTCAGAAAGTGGACTACCGCATATTTAGTCGACTAGAAAAGCATCTTAATCGACTACATTTTTGGGATATGTAGTCGACTAAGTAACGATATTTAGTCGACTAAATGTCGACTGAAACCCTATATTTTCCATGTTTTCGGTCTCATTTCGATTGTTGTTGTTGTGTAAACCTAAATAGCTCCCTTTGTGCATGTGTAATTCTCTCAATCCGATTGTATTTCATCCCACCATCTCTACAGACCTAATATTGTGAAATCATTGTCATTGCCCAATTCCAAACCCCAAAATCCGAACCCAAACCCCCAATTTCAGAATCCAAGTCCCAATTTCGTGAGGAAGATGAGCACAAGTCCAAACATGTATGTGACAATGATCTACTATGATGGAAAGCATTATGAAGGCCCCAATGGTGTTCAATTTGAAGGAAAAACGAAAATGTTGAAAATCAAACGGGGCACTACATACAATGAGTTAAAGGAGAGAATTCAGCAAAAATTGGGTCTGCAAGGCAGCCAATGCGTTCAACGGATGATTGCCAGGGTAGAGACAACAGTTGGTAAGGATGCTATTTACTACATTGGTAACGATATATGTGATGATGAAGATGTCGAATGTGTCATAGATGCAATTGTTGACCGAAAATTTCAAAATTTTATTGAGATATATGTTGAATTAGATTGTGGTCAATCTTCATCTGCACCCATGCATACAAGAAGTGAACCGTATTTTGGTCATGAAGAAAGAGTAGTCGATTTATCTGCACCTGCACATGTCATAAGTCAGATAACACTGCGGGAAATAGATGAGGATGAACAGGATGCCGATATGGACAGCGATGAGGACGGTGAACCTGAGAGTGTTATTCCGCTAGGTGACACGTCAGATACTGACGTAGAGGGTGATTTCGATGCTGACACAAGCTCACCATCCCCGGGTTCGCAGGTTACGAGACCACTTCGTGTTGACCCTGTTAGCAGTGGTAAGATTTGTTTTTTAAAGATTTAATCTAGCAATTATTTTTTTTGTTATAAATGGTATTGACGGTGGCATTATAATGCATCCGTAGGTTCTGAGGTCGAGCCATTTTGGAATGAAAGCTCACATTATTCCTTCATTAATTGGGCTCACCCTAATGATGAGACAGAGATATTGTATGGTGACGATGATGATCACAGTGGCTGGCAATTAGGGGATCCTTTATATTTGTATCAGGAGTTTCGTAGCAAATCTGAAATGCAACATGCAGTCAAATTATATTGTATGAAGGCTCACCGTACTGCCGTTGTGGCAAATTATATTGTATGAAGGCTCACCGTACTAACGTAGTCGACTAAACCAGTACAGGTTAATCGACTAAATTGTTGGTTTAGGACCCCAAATCCGAATTACACATGTTTTTTGCCCTAGGTTTCCACTCCACACTGATCCACTAAGGGAGTGTAACTTAGGGAGCATAATTTCCGAGTCAAAAAACCCATGTGGACATTAAATTCCTAAAACCAAGTCGTATGTTGTCATAACGTTTGTTTACGGTTAACAATACAAGATGTTGCCTTTTTAAACACATGTACTGATTTGCTGTGATGTGTTATGGACGAATGTGACCTGTTCAATATTGTTTTGTGCCGTGATGATCAAATTGCTAAAAAGGTTCCATTCATAAGTTATACAATATTGAAATGGAACTCAATTCATTACATAACATAACATAGATCCAAAAAACATAACAATTCTGCATTCATTAAAAAAAGTTACATTACATCAACGACTTAAAGGAAATACATGAACAAAACATAATAACATGATGTAAACCCTAAATCTACTCCCCATCCCCGTCTGTGTCCGTCTCCGAGTCGTCCTCATCTGACACATGACCCCCATCCCCTGCTGCCTCAGCTACCTCACCACCTCTTGCAAGCTCCAGACGAGCAAGCCTGTCTTCCACACCCTTAAACCTTCCTTGTATGTGTCTAAACCTTTCATTCCCTTTCTTTCTCCATTTTTTATGTGCCAGCGCCATCTTTCCTATCTTCTTTGTCATTGCATTTATGCCATTCATGACATCACGCAGTGAAAATCCACCTTCAGGTTCAGCTATCTCCTCAACCTCAGCCACATCCTCCTCCTCCTCCACCTCTGGCTCAACAATATGGTCATCTGGGGCAACATAAGGAACCTCAACCTGGGGCATACCACTGAACTCCCACACACCCGATCTTGTGTTCTTAGTAATCTTGCACTGCTCCAATAGACGCTTTCCGAACTTGCAATTATAGCCCGTGGTCTTCTTCAACAGCTCAGTCTCCATGGGAACACCAAAGTGAACCAATATCCTCTGTACCAGACAGGCGTATGGAAGATGACCCTTATGTTTGGCCTTAAACATAAACCAACAGATATAGTGCCTCCAGTTCACCATCTGGGCATGTCGGATAGCCCACATAATGGGAATGTCATGTTCCAACACCCTGGAATGATTAAAAGATCGCGGAAACAGAACGTGGGTGAGGACATAGTGTAGTATACGGGACTCCACAGAAAGCAACCCCACCGTATAGTGCAAGTGTTCCCCACGGACTCTTCTCTGCTCCTGCACGGCATCCTCTCGTACATATCCTGGAAGTACTACACCACTATCAGCGTCATACGCCACAGTCTGAGAAGAGTCAAAATCATAGCCGAGTATCTCCAACCATGCAGGTGCCGTCATGATGATCTCTATTCCACAGACCCTCGACCTCAGCTCGCCCTGTACGTAGCTGAGGTTATGGTAGAAGGCCCGCACCATAAGCTCTGAATACGGACATAGGGTCTCGGCCAACACCCTCAGATGTGCCGCCTCCAACACCCCCACAATTTTAAATCCCTCCTTATCAAAAAAGGCTGTATCCAAAGATTTTGGAGCACATAACGGCCGGTTCAAATGGTCACGTACGAATGAAGCGTGGACGGCAGGGTCGTCCTCAAACAGATACCCATACGGGAGGTCAACAGTATCAGGCTCTTTGTCTTGTCGCCTTGACGAAGAAGGCCGCTCTTGCCTATGC